GTCATCATTATTTGTGTGTTCTTTGACGTTACAATGGGCTCGCATTCGATTCCTGCACCCAGCACTTTTGCATGCAACTTTCTCAGTTTCGGACATGGAGTTCCGCCAAGCATTCCGCCTCTAATAATAATGCTTACAGTTGAAAGTTCGTTGCGTATCCTTTACAGGACATTGCAGAACCAACCCTAGAATTTTTTTTTTTTTTTTGGCTGTTGTGGTTTTTCTAGGCAAATATACGTCTAGTGTGTAACGTTTCAAAACATCAGATTACAGGTGTGTTTGTCGCGTTTCACTCTCAGGTGGGCATCTCCATATAAGCCCTCCTTGAGTTGGCCGCTTTTTCATATAATGGGGAATAGGCTATAAAAAATCAACACGCATCGTTGCACATGTTAACTGATTTGCGAACACACCGGATAAGCAGGCGTGCTTGCCCTGACGTAAATTTGACGATGATCTTTGTCAACCCCTACCGGCTTAGAGACACCAGCCACTGTCTTCAGACCCAACCTTCTCTATCTTCCTGAGTATGCTCATCGAAGTCTTTGAGAAAGCAATCGCGGGTGAAAGTGTGTCTCCAGGCATGTTATTGCTTTGGTAACTGCCATGACTTCTGGACTATTCATAGTCAAGGCAAAAGTACCATACTCTTGCTTCACAGCTCTTCCTCCAACTTGAGCCTCAGAACCCTACCAGCTTTGCACCTAGCAGTATGGAAGGCTTTGCCCTAGATAGATTACATTTTGTTCATAGGTGACTGAAGGAGCTGAGTTGAGTTGAGTCAAGAATTGACATCACAGCACTTGGGGCATTCCCATTTGTGCTCCGTCCTTAACTTCAGCAGCCAACGCAGAGTTCCAACACTAATATAATAGGTGCCTAAAAGACTGAGGATCGACTACATTTCATACAGTTTTACCCGACATGGCTAGGCCACTCTCCAAAAGACAGCTGTTCGCATGAAGCACGAAGCTAGTAACGACCAGTAACGACCCCTAAGAATCTCTAAAACATAAGCATTCCCAAAGCTAAGAATGGAGAAAGAAACGGAACACACATCCTCCCCAGCTTAAGGTCAATGACTTAACCGACACGCCATGGAGACCCGTAGTTGTTATTTCAACATTTTCTATGCGGACGCGCTATGTAACTCCGACATGCGGGGTTCGATCCTAGCAGCGGGGGATTTTACAGCAGACTGTCTTGTGTTGGTTTCGACAGTGGTTTCAAGAGCCGACTGTTTAGTGAGCGATGGAAAACTGCCAATTACTGGCTTTATTATACCACTTTTGCGCTGTAGGCAGAGGGTTTTTTTTAGCCTGAAGATTAACGGCCGCTTGGCTAGTGCTGTCGCCACGACCTGTGCAGGTGAGGATTTTATTTTGCATCCGACAGAAAAAAATTATCAGCCTTACCGAGGATTCAAACCCGGGTCTCCAGCTTGAGAGCCTAGTGAAATAACCCTCCTGCCAGTCGCTCCTCTTTGGAAAACTACTGAATGTAAAATTGCCTATGGAATCACAATCAGTCAAAAATCGCTTGACTGGTTCTGCAACACCCTGTATAAGGATAAGTAGGTACTACCTTAAGAAGTGCGTTTAACAAAAAATTATTATTCAGTGAATACATACTCTATCGTGGAACTGTTGAGACTTTGCTTTGATGTTTCTGGAACTTTCCCTGGGTCCCTCAGCAGCAGGGAACCCCTGGCTGAGGTCAAGTCGGACTGCGGGTTGCTGCACGCTCGGTAGAGATAGGTATGGGTTGAACTTAGGGTTCTCGGCTCTCTCTTCTGGCAGTCTGGAACAGACAACATTGTGCAAGAATATAACGCGCAAGAATATAATGCGCAAGTATATAATGCGCAAGAATATAATGCGCAACTATATAAAACGCAAGCATATAATGCGCAAGAATATAACGCGAGAATATAATGAATATAATAATATAAAATAAAATATTATGGGCAAGAATATCGTCTTGAGTTGTAGCTCTTTGGTAGGGCATATAAAACAAAACACACTGCAGAAGAGGTTTACAGGGTTCTTCAGTCTTTCCTCGGGGAAATCTGAAATTGATAACATTTTGTAAGATTTTCAGCAGCAGTTTCTCGGATCCCTAAACGTTATTGATGACAACAATGGAGAGAGGGGTGAGGGGGGAGGCGTGAGGAAGAAGGAAGGTTAAAAAAATTTTAAGTTGGGGATTTTCAAGGTGCCTGAGCCGCATAATTCCGGTCCGGCGTGTGTGCAGTGAGATAACGAAAGCTTTAACTTCCCAAAGAAAAGGACATCCTATATCTCATGGCAGTAGAGTTTTTAGACCCGACTACTCGATTAAACTCCTTCAGGCTATCCTCCGAAAAACGGCCACATAAAGCGGCTCTAAAAAAAAAAAAAACCCTGACAAGGCCTCAATCACATGTAAATTGCGGACTTCCTCCTACTTACACATCGCAGCAAAACTAGGATTGTTGACAATTTCCAAAACGCAGCAAAATACACCATAATAGCGACATGGCGGGGAGACCACTCACTCCGACGCACGTCAGAGATAGTGTTATTACGATTAAACTCACTGACGAGCGTATCCCCCGCGCCATTACGCGTGGCGCGGATGGGGGGGGGGGGCTAAACTAGATGGCTACCGCATCTCCTGCAAACTCCTCCAATTTATGTGCTCATGAGTCCCAGCCATCTAGTTTAGCCCCCCTATCCGCGCCGCTCGGCGGGTAAAACTGCGTTACCAATGCGGCACCGATCATATTTAGCCAAGTTTCAATGGCGCCACAGCCACAAAGAGCAGATTTTCGGGCACTATTTGCAACCTCTGTGCTTCTGTGTCACTATTTTCATATATATAAAGGCCTCAATTATCGTTGTGTAGTCGATTTCGTCATTTTCCTTTTTTTTCGTTCTTATTATTTTCGAGTTAAAGTTTTTGAATGTTTACGACCTAATAAGGCCCTGTCAGGGTGTGTTTTTGGCCACCATAATATGTGGCCGTTATTCGGGGGATAACCCTCAATTATGAAGGATCCTTTTCCTTTTAGACATATAGGCCTAGATCTATATTTTATATACCAATTGGAACTTGGTTGGTGACGTGGTCACATCACGCCGGTCGTCTATACTTCCTTAGGTTGTACCTAGTACCCATTCAAGGCTGGGTCAACCTGGGAGCCAAAGTCCTTAAAAAAAGGTTTCCATCAGGATCTGAACACACGACCTTCTTATCCGCAGGCGATCATAAAGTGATTCGTACTTGATTTCCCCGGAAAAGGGGGGGGTGGGGGGGGGGGTGTTGCGTGGTCTCAAAACATGGTGTCCGCCTCGAGTGCTAGAGGTCCCGGGTTCAGGCCGCGGTGAAGGCTGGGATTGTTTTTAAAGTAGACTTTTATTATTTCCCCTGATCTCAGAGTAGTGAGATCAGACGTTCGTGTGTATTGCTACCCACGTAACAATTCACTTGGCAGTTGGGTATCGAAACGAGTAGCCTAGCGGCGCTGCCCGGGCAAAATTTGGAGTTCAGTATCCCATCACTATACGCCCGATACGCAAAAGGGCGGGAAAATTGTCTTTTATGCTTTACTACGTGTTTAACACAATTATCATAAACTTGATCCTCACTGGAGCTACGGGGGCGTCCGTGATGAGATCCGATGCAGCAACATTCACGAGGTACAGAATGCGGAAATGCCAATGTGAGAGGTACTTTGGTGCAGTAACGTCGATGATCATAACATTACATAACACAACCTTTTCTTCTTCAGCGTTCTGAGCCCTTGAGGTTCACTGCTGCAGATATCACCCGCCTCCACTCATCTCTCTGGTTGGTCTTCTCTCTCCAGTTGGTGAGACCAACCGTTTGCAGGTCTGTCTGGACGTTATCTCCCCATCGTCTTCTTGGTCTGCCTCGTGGTATACGACAATTTAGCTCTCTTGTGTATACAGTTTTTGCCACTCTGTCATTTCATATTATTTCATTATGCCCAAGTCATTTCAGTCTATTATAGATCAGTTATCAGTGGTGATATAAACATATTTTGCATTTTGTTGTTGATTCTCACTCTCCATTTCCCGCTGTTTGCATCTTTCATGGGTCCAAAGATTCATCGTAATACTCTGTTTTTGACAATGTGTAATGAGGTTTCATCTCTGTTAGTTGCGCTCCATGTTTCAGAGCCATATAAAACGATTGCTTTTACCAACGTTTTATATATTTTGATCTGAATTTTGCGAGAAAAAGACTTTGAGTTTAGCAGATGTTGAAGGGCATAATATACTTCATTTCCAGATTGTATTCTAGATTGTATTTCTTCTCTCAGCATGTTAGAGCAGTTAAAGTTTGCCCCCAAATACTTATATATTTCCGTTTGTTTGATTTTCATATTATCGGCTTGTATGGTGCCGCTGTTTATATCATTTCCCTGCATTGTTATTATTATGTATTCTGTATTATCGTGACTGATAACTAGTCCCATTTTGGGAGTTGCTTCTTTTAAGAGAGTCTGTGTTTTACCAGTCTCTAGTTCATTTTCTCCAACGATATAAATGTCATCAGCATATCCAAGTATTCATGTAGATTCTCCTACAGTACTCGCTTGTTTCAGTTTCCTTATAATTTTCTTCAGGGCCAAGTTGAAAAGTAGTGGGGACAGAGTATCACCTTGCTTTAAACCAGATGTTGTTTGAAAACGGTCTAACTTTCTGCCTTTGTATGTTACTATATTGTAAGTGCGCATGTCGACCCAGCCTAAAATGGGTACAAGAATGGCTGTCCTGTGGAACTAAAGACGGCCGGCGTAATGCTGCCCACATTCTTTACTTTTTACTTTACTTATATTATAAGTGTCTTCGATACTTTGTTTGGTCATGGTAATTAACATTTTCGGTATTCCAAAGTCATTCATAGTATTCCAATAACTGCTTCTATGTACACTATCATACGCCTTACATAATAATAGGCATTTTTGTTTTCAACACACATCAAATAGTGACCTGTACAAAGAATGGCTATTTTCTGGTGCCACTCCGGGCCGTGGGCTGGAGGTGGGTTGGTGTATGCCGTCTTCTGAACCTTTGAAAGACTGGAATGACTGCCTGAAAACAGA